ATTACCTTCAAGCCTTTAAGACCCCACCAGACTTACTTGTATGGAAGAAACCAGAAGATCCTCTGAGACTATTGCCTTCATCAACCTTCTAACTTGAAACGCAAGACACTCCTGGAGGCTACCTCTCAGCCAAATAATAGATGGGCCTGGAAAGTAAACAACTTCCATAAGGAATGCGCTCCTTAAAACAGTCCAAAGAAACCAAAGGCAGCATTTTCCCCAAACTACAGATGAGGAGACAGGGAGGGACACGGAAACAGGAGGGATGGAAACATGGAACCCAAGAAGGAAACAGGAGAAGTGCTGATACATTGTGGGGGTTGCAGCCAATGTTAGGGAACAATCTGTGTATGAATTGTTTATTGGAATACTAAGTCGCTATGTAAGCTTTCATCTAAAGCACAGTAAAGCACTAAAAAGAAAAAGTGAAGTGAGCTGGAAGTCGTAGACAGTGCTATCAGGTGCAAAGGGGCAATAAAAGCACCTAAATTGGCAAAAAGGTATCATTCTGTAATGAGATGGAAAAATTAATCACTAATCTTACATGGAAAGGAAAGAGACAGATGAAGCACAGCACGACTAAAGAAGGAGGACAAAGTGGGAGACCTCTCATTTCCTGATTACAAAACACATGCCACAGCCACGGCGGTCAAAGCAGTGACAGGTACGTAGACCAATGGAACAAAACCAGGGCCCAGAAGTAAATCCATCCACTGTAGGCAGCTGATCTTTGACAACGGGGCAGAAATCATCAAATAGGAAGGAAATAGTCTCTAGCAAATGGTCCTGGGAAAATGGAATTTCCATTTGTAGAAGAATGAAATGGGACCACACCACATACAAAATTCAGCTCAACATGATAGTGGGACAGGAGGAGAACCAATGGAAATAGAGGAAAGAGCTGGGAGGCAAAGGGCATTTATAGAGGTTTAGATAAAGACATGTACATATACAAATATATTTATACGAGGAGGGGGAAATAGATCTATGAGCCTACATTTATAGGTTTAGTATTAAGGTAGCAGAAGGACATTGGGCCTACACTCAAGTACTCCCTCAAT